GTCACTTTGGTGACATGTTATTTCAATTAATTAATCCTAAAATATATATAAATCTTTTTTAGTATTTGAATTTAAAATTTAAAAATGAATGCAATTGTTATACAATAAATATATAATAATACACACAACCTTTTATATTTTAAAATAAATTAATTTTCACAAGAGAGGTCACTTTGGTGACATGTTATTTCAATTAATTAATCCTAAAATATATATAAATCTTTTTTAGTATTTGAATTTAAAATTTAAAAATGAATGCAATTGTTATACAATAAATATATAAGCTATATGTATAAAAATTGAATGCATTCCTTATAAACAATTAAAAAAAATGATTATGTCAAACTTTCACATACAAATTGGTATGCTTAATACATACATTGAAATCGATATACAAGCCAAACATTTTTATTTTATAATAACACATAATTATTAAAAATGAGTAATATATCACTATAAAAACAATTATGATCATAATAATGTAAACATATATCAAACGTTCTACTAAATATATAATATATCAATTTAAAAACAAATTAAATTCGTAACTGAAACCAAAATCAATTACAATATGCAATATATCAATTTAAAAATGAATTAAATTCGTAATTGAAATCGAAATCAATTATCATAAAAAAAATTCTCAAAAATGAACAACCTTATAGTATTTTCATATTAATGTATCTAATATATTATCATAACTGTAATCAAATTGCAATATATCAAGAATATGCCAGAATCATCAATTAATCACATAACAAAATATTTGAGCAATTAAATTTAATTTAATTGACTATTATGAATATGAAACACATGTTATCAAAATACTGGAAAAAGAAACCATGATACTGCAAGACGAAACACACGTTCCAAATTACATAAAAGAATTTCAAAAATCAAATCATCCAATAATTAAGATCCTTTTCTCCTTACTATAATAGTCGGAAGATACATATATTGGATTTTCTTTTAACTAAAGAAGCATGGTAAATTTATAAATAATACTGTAATGAAGAAACATGCCCAAAAATATTCATGATGATCAAACATGATATATGGGCTCTGATACCAATTGTTAAAACCAAATTTAAGCCTTTGATGAAAACTATCATCTATATAAAACACAAAATTCTATCATGTTAATCACTAGAAACAATAAGCGAAAGCATACCTGAATTCATGATGATAAGAGAGTTGTGCGGTTTGGCCTTCCAGATCAACACGTACTCTCTTGAGAGAACCCTTTAGTTATCTCTCTGTCCCTCTCTAATAATGGGATGTCAGAAAAGAAAAGAACCGAACGTATGATCTGGGGACCTAATCTATTTATAAATAATCATGTCGCCTTTTTTGTATTTCTATTTTTACCCATCACAAAATAGAATTATCCTTTAATTACCACACATTAAATGTCTGATAACCTTTCAGATACATAACTGCCAAAATAATTTATATGTCATTAGATAACTTTAATTTTGGCATAACTTTATGTGTTTTTAATATATAATTATTCACATATAAGACCAACATTGGATTAAGGATCCACTCCTTTCTTCAGAAATACTTAAATTATATTATTTCCTCTTATTTTAAAAATTATATTTTTCTTATTAAAAGATAAATTAATGCATAATATACTTATTAGTTTATTTAAATGTGAATGAACATGAACTTGCTGGGTTAATTTTTCTTTTTCTTAACTCTAAATATTATTAGCAGTAATTTTAAATTTCCATTATCGGCTTGAAAAGTAGAAGAAAAAAATTATTGAGTCAATAATATGAGTATTTAAAATATGATTTCATATCTATTAAAATCTTGAGGTGAAAATATTCTTTTATTTTCCCCTCTTATTATTTAGGTTCAATTTTATCTTTTAAGTTTAAAAAATTCACTTTGATCTCTTGGAGTGTCTTTGTTAGACCAAAGTTGATCCTTTTATGAATATACTACAGTAACAATGTTATTAATTTGTCTCATATGCCAAACAGTCATAAATGATATTATTGGTTCGAGTATTTATCATTAGATTAAAATCGTAATACCTCAAGTTTCACGTGTTAATTGTAACTTGACTCAATATTCGTTGTAGGACAATTGATACCATAATACAATCTGGCAAAGATGTGATATTTTATATAAAAGATAATGTCTTATGACAATAAAATTCATATATATGTTAAGTATATAAAATTTTGGTAATTTGTCAGCGGTCAAAATCAAAATAGATTGAGAAAAAGAATTAGAATTGTGGTACAACATTGCAAAACTCAACACGGTATCACATTGTAGCTATTGAAGCTTTGCGGCTACGAACTTCAAGTAGAAGAAGAGTTTTGATATTTACCACTTTCATCAAGTTAATCAATTTCATTTGTCAACTAAATGAATTTCATGTTAGTTGAAGGATTGTACACAGCAAAAAAAAAATGAAATATAAGTTTGGAAATTAGATATCTCTCCACTTAATATAACTTTGTGCAGCTTCCGTGAATTTTAAGTGTAAATTTTCCTACTTGCTCTCAACAGAAAAGTTAACTGCATGTACGAGTTAAGTATAAATTTGTGTACTTACTTGCATGACATGTAGTTAGTCTGAATATTAAACCTTTTGTTGATTTTAGATGAATTTGTAAGCCATTGTAGCTACCTTTTGTGATCATATAATAAGCAATTGCAAAAATCATGTCTAAGAGTATTTTGCATCTCCCTCTACCAAAATAAAGACATACAATTGGTAATATTTGGTCATTGGGGTCTCTCCTAGTATTTTCCTTAAGGGTGCTTATGATCTTTAAGATCTCACTAACTTGACCAAGTCAAAGAGGCTTTAAATGAATTTAAATTTAAAAAAATTAGATTTAATGGATTTTGATGACAAGTTCGATTCATACTCTGAGTTGTCTCAGCTCAATTTAATGTTGTATATTCTTTCTAAAAAAATTATTTTTTTAAAATAAATATATACATTGATAATAAAATTTTGAGTTAGTGAATAATATTTTGTCTATCATATTATATTTATATTGATATTGTTTGTTTTAATATATATATATATATATATATATATATATATATATATCATAAATATACATTAGTTGTAGTTATATACTTCTTTAATTTTATAATTTAACTATATTAATATATTATGTCAATAAGTCAATTTGACACACAATCTTCTTCTATATGTTCTTGAGTCTTAATTTTGTTAGATTTAAATTTAAAAAGTTGACTCTATCAAAATTTCGGGTCAAATAAGAGACAGATAAACTTGTTGTAAATTGTCCCGCATACACCCCTGTTGTGGGTTCTATAGTGTTACCTTTCGTAAAACACCCGTCAAACCTATGTTAATACAGTTCATGAAAATTTCCTTTCATGTTTTATAGTAGATATAAAGCCTCCAGAATGTTGGACTTAGACACCTCCTTGATTGATCCAATTCATTTTCATCACTTTCATCATCTGTCATGTATCCTTGTTAGGTAGCCTCGCACAGTATGCATTCCACTCACAACCACTCTTACATGCATTCTCATCCATTGTATCATTCTTTTTAATGTTGGTCACATAGGGTGGATTTAATTTCAATATGACTACAATATTGGACCACGCACCCAATGGGCCTTTTAATTTTACCCATATGACATGTTCTTGATGAAATAGAATTGTTGATGAGTCCAACTTATAAGATAAGCCCATTTAAATTTTTTTCTCAGGTTTTTTTTTCCGCATCATGACCAATCTTCATTGGGGGATGTGAAAGCACTCAAACTTCTCAGTTAGCTTTTTCTTTTATACACAAAACTCAATATTATTTGTTGTTGTTGTTCATACAATATTATATTCATTTGTGATCAATAATGCAAATAAAGATGAACTTAAAATTTAAGTAAATAAAAAATTATGTTTTATAAGATTATTTTTTATTTTCAAAATGATGTGCTAAAAGTATAAGTTAACTATCAAAATAAAGTATTAACCAGGAGTGATTTGAACAATTTGTAAGTTTAGGAGCCTGATTTCTTCAATCAGAAGTATACGAGATAAAATACACGTGTCTCCTCTTGTATAATCTACCCTTTTCATTACCTATGCTCTATCGAAGTCCAAAAAACAAAATGGACATATGCTCTATCCCTAACTTGAATGAAAGCTCCTCTGAAATAAACAGAAAGTACTAGGACAAGTATATGGACCAAGTAGCTTACCACATGACAATTTGTGCTAAGCAGTTTAGCTAAAGCTATTGGAGTGGAGTTATAAGTTCTTCTGAGAGTTGTCTTTGACCAATTGGACCACTTTCATATTGCTCTAAATTGCATTAGTGTGACTGTTTCACATGTGAGCCACACCAGTTCACCCAGCAAGGTAGAGAGCAACGTTTGAAGCAATGCTGGGGGACAATGTCAATTGTCAGGAATTGCAGATTTGCCTCATAAACCTAATCAGTTGAAGTTTAAGCCCAATTCTAGAGACGTGGTTGGTTGGTGGAGCTTAATTTGAGCTCCGCAATGATGGGGAAATTCTACTATTTTATTCAAAATATAAATTTCATTTCTAGATATAAATTTGGTGTTTAAACTCTGATAATATAACCCGATTATATATCTTTTATACACAATGCAATGTATAAAATATATAGATATTTAAATTAAGAGTAATAATTCTGAACCCTGATGATTACTGAAATGTTAAAAACTCATCCAGAAATTATCACTTTGAGAAGACTTTATCTATCGGCTATCACTCCAACCCTAGGGCTAACTCCATTATTCTACATGAAGATTTCTGATCAAATGAATATGATTAAACTGGTTAAAACCCGATAACTTAATTGGAGTGGTCAGGAAATGCCTGATTCACCGATAATCCAATCCGACAATAGGGGATTATAATCTAATAATAACTATATACCATATGAAGACTTCAACGAGAAAAAAGGGGGGTGGTGGGGGGGAAGAACAGTGGGGTTAAGGTTAAAGAATTAGACAACTCCGTTTCAAATCAAAACACAAACACTGTCGATTAATCAATGACTGTCGCTTTACAAGAAATACTGATTTTCTTTTTCTAACAAAAGAAAAGAATATGATGATTAGCCCAAAATAAGGCCAGAAACCAATTAAGGAGGGGAGACGAGATGGGTACAAAGAATGAGAAAATAACAATGGGTCGAGGAACCAAAAATAAAAAACTAATTCCCAGACGCATGTACAAAAATTTCAAACGGATATTGAACAGAGATCCTCAAAAACTTGTCTGATGTTAGGCCTCTCATTTACAGGGAGAATACACCTGAGAGATATTGCGAGCAGTTCATCCATCTCTTTGGAGGATTCTTCCCCTCCGGCAATGTCTCTGTCAATACAGTCCATTACCCTTCCTTCCCGCTCACACAGCCTAACCCAATCTGTAAGATCCACAGCACCTGATTGCCCTGATATTATGTCACCTGCACTTTTTCTTGTTAACAATTCCATTAGGATCACACCAAGCGCATACACATCAGCCTTAAAGGATGGAACTGGTTTGGATGCAGTAGCAAGTTCGGGAGCACGGTATCCAAGTGCTCCAAGATTTAGTATCTGCTCTGCAATTCCAGCCGGTGTCATCAGCCGGTGCAGACCGTAGTCAGTAAGACGAGCATTGTAATCGGGTGCTGCTAACAGTATATTTGTTGGCTTTAGATTTCCATGGGGAAGTCCTCGATCGTGAAGGTATAGAAGACATTTAGCAACATCAACAGCAACTCTTATTCTCTGGCTGAATGATAATGGGGAGTGCCTCCGGGGTGTGCTCTCTGTGCAACAGATACATTGGTATTACACTCACAAAAAAAAAAAAAAAAGCTTATATCATGTCAAAACACTCCTGCATAGAGAATTCAAGAGCTCTAAACATGTTTTAACTGTTGGACAAGCTGTACCTTACTTAAGTATACTAGGAAAAAAATTACCCCCAACATTTGGACAGAGTCCCTGAAACTCTACAATACACTAGAAATAGCCATGCAGCTCGCACTAATGCAACAGTTTCAAACACTATATCTGAGATTTGTTTGCCAGCTTCTCGGAGAAGGCCAGTGAAAATTGACTGGCAAATATGATAGATAACAGCATCCAGCTATTTTACTTTTTCTTTATTTCAAATAAAAGTGAAAACAAGATTTTAGTGTGAAGTCCAATTTAAACAGGCTATACCATCTACACTCGGCCATCTAAAAAGGAAATGAAAGTCAAGGCCCCAAAAACGCATGCAACGATTCATATACACAATTTTAGCCACAAGTATTGGCTTGACTACCAGAGCATAACTCACATAGTGATAAAAACCCCACTGCAGTAGTCTTGTAAAAATAAGAAACTATTAGTTCACATTAATAAAATTATTAATGGGAAACAAGAGTATAGTTGTAAAAAAATATTTAGTATTGGATTGGAACGGCATCAATAGTTTTGGAACAAAACTAATATGCTAAAACATCAATAGTGTTGGAAGAGAGTAATATTTTAGCAATGAGTTGCCCAGCAGTTGCATTATTCTTCATTGGATGATTAGGTTTAAGGAAGGAACAAAATTTAGGCGTAGCATCTTAAGTGTATTTGATGTTGTTATCTAAATAAAATTAGTTTCACCAACCAGTATTACCAACCTTATTGCATGGATTACCAAGGTAAAACTACAATTTTGATTAGAGAACAACACTAAAAGCACCAAAGGTACTAAAGTTTTGTCCACAAGGAAATTATAATTTTTGAAAGGAAACTAGTGTTCACAATTAATTGGTATAATTAACACAATGACCATAGGACATAATAAATGCAAGCAATTTAAAATATTGAAAAGAAGAAAAAAACGACACAGGATCAAAAATGTAGGTGATGGGGGTGAGATATGTTGACGAAAAGTTAACTATTACCATAGAGATGAAGGGCCAAGCTGTCCCCATGTATATAGTCAGCCAAAAGAAGCCTCTCTTGTTCCCGAGGCCCCCAATAGTATGCTAGTAATGGGACAACGTTTGGATGCCTCATAGAACCAATCCTTTTAACTTCTCTAGCAAATTCCTTTTTATGTTTGACCAATCCCACTCGTAACCATTTTACAGTCAACATATGACCACTGTCCAGAGTTGCTTTGTATAAAGTGCCATGGCTACTTCTGCCAAGAACTTCAGCTGGAGCTCGAGATAATTCCTCTGCAGTGAATGCTAGGGAAGACTCCAGGAAAAACAGTTCCCCAGCCAGCCGATCTGGTGAGTAAACATCCAACATCACTGGCTTTTCACAAGCCTCAATAAAACGGGGTGAGGACGACAATGGGGAACCTGGAGAAGACTTCGTTCCAGATGAAGTCGGAGGGTTATCCATCAAACTAGGAGTTACAGGTGCTGAACTAGTAGCCACCATTCCCTGAGGTAAGCCATGCTCAGAAATTTCAGTTACAAACTCTGACTGTACACCAGAGAGTGACCTCGAATTGGAAGTCAACAGGTGGTCATTTGAAAAGCTCAATGAAGTTGTTGGGGGTTGAACATTTGTATTGAACTTGAAGAGGGAAGACCTCGTAAGTCCTCCCAACTTCACATCTCTTCTGGTGTTTTGGCCAGTGAACTCACTTCTTCCATGAAATTCTTTTAATTGTGTTCGATGATAAGCCAATAAGACAAAAGCAATCATAACAGCAGCACCCACTGAGGCAAGAATAATTGCTATCCTGATATTACCCTTTGAACTATGATGTCTACCATTATCTGGAATGTTATCAGACACCGAAGAAGCTTCAGGAGAGTCATTTGGTAACATTAGCTTTCCATTTCCAGGGCGAAACGATGAAGGAGAGAACTGCCGCAAATTTTCAGGAACACGACCAGATAGATCATTATTGGACACATTAAATTCAGTTAAGCTAGATGAAAGCTTATCAGGAATATTTCCAGTAAATTTGTTGTCAGACAAATCAAGGTACTCCAAATAATTAAGTTTGTTCAATTCATTTGGCAGCTGCCCTGAAAAGCCATTCCTTGCCAGATTCAGCAGTTTGAGCCCACCCATCCTACCTATTTCAGAAGGCAAGACACCTTCTAATGAGTTATTAGACACATCAAGATATTCCATTGGTTGATAAGGAGGCATAAGTAGTAATTCACTGGCTCCTGAACCTTGAAGCAGAAGTGGCCCTGAAAGTTGATTTCCAGAAAGATTTAGTCTTGTCACTGACGGTGAAGTAACTAAGCCCCGAGGAATCGATCCATTAAGTTCATTTAAACTTAAGTCAACGGTAAACAGTTTTGAATAGGTTCCTAAACTAGGAGGCAATGATCCTGACAGCTTGTTTGAACTCAGATCAATAACCTCTAAAGGGGCTTCCCAGTTCTGTATAACAGAAATGTCACCAGATAACATATTCCTGCTCAAGTCAATGACCGAACATCTACTCAAAGATGTTGGCAATAAGCCTGATAAACTATTGGATGAAAGATTCAAAATATTTAAAGTTGTTGAGTTGATTACAGCAATTGAACCTGTAATAAGCAAAGACATGTACATTAATTAACAGAGCACCGAGTTCACCATCTTTCCC